TTTGGGCGAGTACTTGTACTCGCCCATATGTTCCAATGCCTAGCCCGATACCCTAGCCTCCGGTATCAGAAAACCGGGCAAGGAGTCATTACACACTGCCCCGGCTTCCTGTTTGGCCGGGCAGCCGGCTCCATGCTTGACCAAGGGGAGCATGGAGCCGGCTCCCTGGCCAATCAGGAAGCAGGACAGCGTGTAATGACTTACCTCCTAGCTTCCTGATTGGCCGGAAAGCTGGCCGGCGAGTCATTACCCGCCCCCCGACTTTCTGATTGATCAGAAAGCCGGCTTCATGTTCCCTCGTCACTTGGTGATGAGGGAGCATGGAGACGGCTTTCTGATCAATCAGAAAGTGGCGGGGCAGGTAATAATTTGCCGGCCGGCTTCCTTAATGGGACTTCCAGTATCGGTATTCGGTATCGGCGAGTACAGCAAGAAAAATATCCATATGGACTTTGTGGAGTTGATTTACTTAAGGCGTTTAGGCTATTCACTTTGCAAGGGAATTTGCACTTAGCAGGGGAAGTTTGTCCTTAGTTTAGTGAATGAGGTGAAGCTCTGCTGTCTTCCATCACCCAAATATGTTCAAGAAAAAAAATGCAGTTTTTTATTTTATTTTCCTTGCACATGATTGGGTATTCTTTGCAACGTTAACAGCCTATTTGCCCTTAGCAAATCAACCCCTATGACTCGAGCTGTAACCTAGTAGTACATTTGTTGCATGATCTGTCTCTGCTCCTGCTTAGCATTTGCTTTGCAAAATAATTGATAAATGTCCCTCGATCTGTTTTACCATGCAAACTCTAGCAATCATTATATACATAGGAGGACATTTATCAGTTCTGTCGCAAGGCAAAGCAATGCAAAACCGGAGCAGAGAGACAGATTATGTGACAAATTAGGTTACAGGTTGAGTCATAAATTCCTCCCTCAACTGCTCCAAGGGCTGGCTCACACCATCTGCGTTCAGGCTGCGCTGGGCGAGCGTAAGACAAGGCAATTTGCCTTGTCCTGGATGGAGACTGGGGTTCTGGTTGTGTGCGCTTAAAAAAAAAATGCAGTACTTGTTTTAAGCGCACCACAGTGAGAGGTGGTACAACCGCAGCATTCTGCGGTGAGCCCATAGGTACAGGGGTGTGGAAATTTTTGAAAAAACTACTTGTCCAAGGACTAAAGCGGGGGCCGAATCTACTTGTCCCTCATGACAATCTACTTGTCCTGATACAAAAAAAAATATTTTAACCAAAACCGTATTTAGCGGTGCTAAGAAGCGCCCTTTCTCATTGGTCAGTGCTGTCAGGTGACTGCGCTGACCAACGAGTGCTTAAAATTTGCGAGCGAAATTCAGAATACATGGAACAGGTACAGATAGTACATCCGTACTGGTGGAAGGGAAGGACCGTTTGCTGAAAGTTAAGTATAGCGGGAGGGAGATTTGTGCGGGTAATTCCATTTTCCCAAATTACTTGGGAAAGTGAATTTACCCTTTAGGGTTGGTGCAGACTTGGGGATTCCCGGGACCAGCGATCGTGTGTGGTTGCATACAGCGGTTGCATCCACATGCATGGGGTTACATCTGCGTGACAATCGCTGAAAAAAAGGTAGCTGTACCTATTTTCACGACATGCACCACGCAGTGTTTTCAACTATGATCCTGTGTGATTGCCCAGGCGGTATTGCAGCAGGTAAACGCGCAATCTGCTTGGCATGACTCGGGTGCCATTAGAAAATAATGGCACTGACAGCACGATCGGCAGTGGTGTGCGATTCCGTGACCACCCAGCCATCCGCTCGACTTTGTGCACGATGACCGGGCAGTCACGGATCGCACACTACTACCGATTGTGCTGCCAGTGCCATTATTTTCTAATGGCACCTAGTCGTGCCAGGCAGATTGCGCGTTTTCCTACTGCAATACAGCCCTGCCCGTGCGGTTGCACACGATTGCAGTTGAAAACATTGCGTGTTTATTCGCATGCAGATGGGGGCAGCGGGGCTGGTTTTGATTTTTTTATTTACTTTGTAAACATTTTTCATTTGTTTTATTATTTTTACTTTATCGCCTTTTTTTATTTTTTAAATTTTTATTTAGTTACATTTTTAATTATTATACAGGAACGAGCAGCGGCTGCCGAGGACAGAGGCTATGGGAGGTGACAGAGCCTGTCACTACTCCACGCCCCTGCTCTGTCCCCGCCCCCCCGCTCTCAACACTTCACGCTCTGTCCCCGCTCTTAACGCTTCACACGCTGTCAGGAGTGCCAATGGTTTGGTGGAATCTCACTGGCAGGAAATGGCCTGAAGCGTCCAAAGGCAGAGGTACAAAAGGGTTAATCCAAAGAGAAGTCAAGTCCAATCCGAGTCGAGGCAGGCAGCAAAGGTTCAGGGGCGAAAGGCAGTCTAATCCGGGCGCCAGTGGTTCTGCCAGGCTCGAGGGAGACCCATACCCTGCGCCGTGCCTGCACTAGCTGCTGTGCGGTTGAGCATGGCTGCTGGTGTAAGCAAGCCCTGAAGCATTACTGTTACAAGATAAAACCTGACCCCGGCCACTTCTTAACCACTTCCCGGCCGGCCGTTTTTTTACAAACGCTCTCTAGATATGAGCGGGCGTCTTTATGTCGATATTTGAAAACAGGCAGTGATGCTCATGTTACATATCGTCATGAATGTCGGAATGAGAGCAATAGTTCTAGTGCTATCAATCACTGATAACACTAAACTGATGAGCGGTAAAAGCTTTTAAAGCGTCGCCTATGGTCAATTTTGGGTATGGTAGTTTTTTGCGGGTGCGCGCAATTTTAAAGCATGACATGTTTGGTGTCTATTTACCCGACGTGACCCCGTCTTTTATATCTTATCAAAAATATGGGTAATAATCATTGTTTCCTAATATAATGGAAAAAAAAACTTTTTTTTTCCAAACATTTTCAATCATTTTTCCTTAATATAGTAAAAAATAAAACCCCCCAGTGATGATTAAATACCACCAAAAGAAAGCTCTATCTGTCCCCAAAAATTGTATAAAATTCATTTTAGTGCAGCGTTGCATGACGGAATAAACGTCAATCAAAGTACCGCAGCGCTGAATACCGAAAAATGGCCTGGCCAGGAAGGGGGTCTAAACACCTGGTCTTGAAGTGGTTAATTGTGCGACTGTTTAAAGTAAATTTCTGTCTCATCTTCAGTAATACATCTGTGTCAGGACTTTGGGAACTGTCGCACCTGGCTGCCTAGGAATACAGATCCACATGTCTGTCACAGAGACATTTTTGATGGAGAGGTAGCCTGATTTGTAACTAATTGTGTCCCTAATTTGCATGATAAATGTCCCCCATAGTATTGGAAAAAAAATCATTGTAATATTTAAGAAAATTGAGGAAAAAATAAATATTATTTGGCAATGCTTGTTTCTGAATCCTCCAGATTTTTGGAACACTTATGTGCAGTTCTTGGCAGACTAATGAACATCTCCACTAGCTCCCTTTGTTGTGACAAGCTGGAAAAAGCTTGGAGCATTCTTTCTACAGCCTGTAGATGTTCAGACGGGCCAGAGTCAGTTAACATTTGTGCCACACCAGAAAATACAAGGAAAAAAACATTTAAATTTCCCCGCGCCTTTCCCTCGCCTGTTTCGCAGAGATAGCTTGTGAATGTATGTTATCAGTTACTTAACAAGTGAGAGGCGCTGTCATTAGAGTACTGAGAGTCCAACGTGTTTCTAGAAGTGTTGTTATTTTTTAACTGGTTTCTTTATTTTCAAATCGGCTCCAGTCTTCTAAAGTGGCCCCGAGGGAGTTGAAAACTTTCTCTGCTGAAATAGAGTTTAGTTATGAGACTGCCTAATCTAGACTTATCATTTTTGTTATTCTATTATCTTTTTTTTGTTTTTTAAGCAGCAGCATAATACTGTACAAAATAACTGAGACGAATGTATTACAGATGTATTATTTGTATGTACCCAAGGGGATATATTATAGATATACTGTATAAGTTGCATGTCTTCTACAAAGAAAAAACAGCAGAAGTCTGTAAAGTCGGGATATAAAATCTCTGAATGTGATGGTCGCTTTTTACTTTCAGGCCCAATTCTGATACATAACAGAAAAGTGATCTGGCTGTATGTGGCCATCCCACCTGTTGCATACCCAACTAAGGTATAAGAGACCTCTTTCACACGGGCGGTCTGATCGGGCACGCTTGTCAGTTTTTCAGGCAGATCTGATCGGACGCCCAATTCTTGTCTATGGGCAGCTGGGTTACCCCCAACTCCAGCCAGGTCTGGAAAAACAAACAGAACAGTTTTCCGTTTCCACGGACCTGATTGTGCCGGTTCGGGGTAATCTGATCTAAACGGACACAAGTTTGTTTACATCCGATTCCCCATAGACCAACATGGCGGTCCAGTTATTTCAGGTTTCTGGATGGACGCGGATGTCACAGCACTGTCATCCGATCTGTACTGCTCCGTTGCATGGATCCCCTCCTGGGCAGCCCGCATGAAAGGGGCCTAATGTTGGTCATACACTGGTAGATTTTTGTACAAACGTTCATATGAAAAATCTCAGAACAGTATATAAAAGAAACATACAGTACAAAAGAGAAAACATAAAAATGTTAAATTACATCGAAAATAAAAGTAAAAATGACCATTGTTGAAAATACATGCCTGCTGAAAATGGACTATAGTTTTTCTTTTCTCTTTCTCTTCTAGCACCTTTATGCAAAATCGGTTTCTTAAATACTAAACCAACCCCCATGTCAGAACACCTCAGTCCACTTATTAAAAAAAAACAAACCTGTGGAGAAAAGTAAAGGTGACGTCACTATTCTTCCCAAATTGTGTGAGAAGGTGCTCCTGCTGGAGCATGTTCTCATGAGATTTGGCTTCCACAGCTTTCCCAGGATTTCGCTGGAAAGATTTTGCTCATGATGTGTTAAGCCCACATCCCTACTGCAGTGCTATATTAGCAGGTGGACTCTTAACAAAATATTTGTCTTTGCAGTTATGCTCCTTGGTGTCCAGCATGTCAGCAGATCCAAGCAGATTGGGAGAATTTTGCAAAACGAAGTTCCGTCCTTCATGTTAAAGTTGCCAAAGTGGATGTTACTGAAGAACCAGGTAAGGCTCTTCTACTACATAGTGTTCAGTGAAGAAGAGAGTGTGCTCTGCAACAGCCTTTACAGAGGACATGTTCTTTAGACTTCTGGACTTTTCCTAAGGGTAACGGGAGGACACAAACTAGCGTCCTCCCGTCACCCAAAGCTTAGTATACTGCGAGCTACTGCGAGCTACAGCTCGCGGTATACTGAGACGCCGCAGCCGGGACAGATCCCGACATTACTGTCTGGATCCGCCCAGCTGCGTGAGTGACAGCTGGCTCTGCCTATCTAGCGGCAGAGCCAGCTGTACCCGCCCCCTCCCTCATCCAGTCAGTGCTGGAGGATCGGACAGGGGGAATCCCTGAAGGGAGCCTGGGGGAGGCAGTCACGGCTCTCTGCATGGACAGGATAGAGAAGTGAGTGAGCGACGGTATGTGTTCGCTCACTTCCCGATCTATTGAGCCGACCTGTGATAGTTTCATTGTCACAGGTTGGTAGTCATATGATGCAAGGGGCCGGAGTGGACCAAAAGGCTCTCATTGTTTAGCAACTGCAATACTCAGTCTCACAGTAATAAATGGTACATGTAATAGAGTGCACGGAGTGACATGCCTCTGAAATGTTGCTATGCAGACTTTATTTTAACTGCTTAATAATGTTTTTATTTGACTCTACTCAACCATAATTAGATAGTTCTGTCTGCATGTACTGAGAAAATATGCAATTCCCTTTATGAGACTTCGATTTTAAAGGGTATTACTATATTGCAATACAACATAAATTCAAGGCACACTCTGGAGTTCATATGTATCAAAAACAACTGAAATGTTAAGTTTCCCATACTGGCAGCCATTTTCCTGATTGACACAGAGAAAGAGGGCACTTATTATTAATTAATCATTAATTGTGCTATTCTGTCCCAGGAAATAATACGCCTCAGATCCCTGACTGCCCAGGACTTTAAGAGAAGTGGCCCCAATCCATTTTCCCTCTGGCACATCCTTTTTGAGCATTATATGTTGCAGCATGTCAGTGAAGTTACTATGAGAAGGATCCTGGAAAGTCACTGCTATTGTTTAACTTTGTGCCTGGCAGCTTTCAATCCCGGATGTCGTGTCCCAACCAAAGTTGACACGACATGATTTCCACTGACATTGAGCCTAAAACAGTAAAACAGGACAGCTAACAAATTATTTGGGTGCCTGGTTTAGGAGATTAGTGTTTAACTTCCCAAACTGTGACAATATTAGCAGGTTATATTTTGAGAATCAAAAAGCTCTATCAATTGGACCTAAAAAAAACGGTTTATATATACGTTGAGTCCTTCTAAAATAATTTTTCACAACTTATGGGTAGACCTCTGTAATGGTCAGCTCACATCAAAGCCTTTCATGTATGGCTTGCACACTTAAACCGATTTTATGGGATCTAAGCATGAACGTATACCTTTCAACCTGGTTGTTCGATAATTAGATTGTTTGAATGTTAGATTATTTTACCCCTTCATGACTGAGGCCTTTTTTTCATTTTTTGTACCCATGTTATATTCCACATTTTAGGCCTGAAAATTACTTAAAACCCCCCAACATTATATATTTTCTGAATGCCAAGACCCTATAGAATAAAATGGTGGTAGTTGCAAATTTTTATGTTGCGCAATATTAGCGCTCTCCCTGGGCTACATCATATATTCTGATTTGTAGTGTTTATATATAAGCCAGGGATTCTAGTTTACATAGTAGCAATGCATGGGGTGAACACTGAAAATTAGTTATTTTTATACAAAAAAATGTACACTAAAAGACATTTTGGTGAAATATTCATTCACATATAGTTTAACCCCTTCATGACTGGCCCTTTTTCCATTTTTTGCACCCATGTTATATTCCACATTTTAGGCCTTTTTCTATTTAACGTACTGCAGACAGTACAGTATATGCAGCATTAAATATAACACTATCACAATGCCCATTCCCATTTGTATTATTTACAGTTATACAGACTCTGATATCATGCATACTGGGACAGGCAGTAATAAACCAATACAGCAGATCAGAACTTTATGTTTGCTGGGTATGCATGTCACATGGCACTGATTAACATTTCTATTGCTCGTGATTTGAGGATCTACAGCCGAGTGATACACAAATAAGATACATTTTTGTTAATAGTTTAGTTACATGATTGCATTTTTAAGATTTAACTCCTAAGTTAAAGGAGAACTATGAGGCGAGGGAAAATCACTCAGCCTCATAGTTCTAGCCGACCTGTGACAATGAAACTATCACTGGTCGGCTCAATAGATCGGGAAGTGAGCGAACACATACCGTCGCTCGCTCACTTCTCGATCCTGTCCCTGCAGAGAGCTGTGACTGTCACTCACGGCTCCCCGCAGGGATTCCCCCCTCCCCTGTCCGATCCTTCAGCGCTGACTAGTGGAACGGACGGGGGAGGGGGCAGGTACAGCTGGCTCTGCCTCTGGATAGGCAGAGCCAGCTGTCATCACGCAGCCCGGTGGATCCAGACAGTAATGTCGGGATCCGTCCCGGCTGCGGCGTCTCAGTATACCGCGAGCTGCAGCTCGCGACATACTGAGCTTTGGGTCACGGGAGGACGCTAGTTTGTGTCCTCCCGTTACCCTTAAGAGAACTGTGGGGAAAACCCCTGACCCCATAGTTCTCCTTTAAGTGTCACTTTAAACGGCAACTCTGAGGAACAGAAATGTGCTAATGTTATCCAACTAAGACTGAAAATAATCTACTCAGTTAAACATATTGTAAGTGCTGTGTGATCCTCTATTGTCAGATTCCACACAGCTCTTCGCACAGGGTGTAAGCAGGTCTACTTATGAAGTGTGTGCTGTGCAATGCCCATACTGTCTGCCCAATATATCACTAACCACATTCACACTTACAAGACATGAAATGTGATGATATACTTTGGATTCATTCATTGTGTATGTTGTTTCTGCTCTCTGCATTTCCTCACTGAATACGCCTGGTTGTGTCTCTGTATTGTGACAGAAAATTGTTTTGCTTGCTTTTTTAGGACTGAGTGGACGGTTCTTCGTAACAAAACTTCCGACAATTTTCCAGTAAGTTGACAACTGTAAAATGTTTAAAAAGAAAATGTTGGGGGAATACATTGCAGCTTACCAGTCCTTTAGATGTGGTGGCTGCATTACCTTTCTTTTTTTTGTTTAATTTTAAACCTGGTGTTTCTGCCAGTAACATACTTCCTGTCCGAGGGTAACAATGCTCAATCGCTATCCTATATATAAGGAGAAGCAGCATTGTCACCCCAGGACAGGACTACAGAAACTTCCTCTCCTTTAATAGATAACATAGAAGGGATAGGTTCCATAGTCCTCATAGATCATTGTAAACAATGTATCTGATAAGACTGCAGCACAGACAGAGAGCACAGGAAGTTAGCAGCTAACACGATTTCTGCAGGATCAACATGTATTTTTTACACTTTGCAAACAAATATAACAAAATAAATTCAATACATGTTTATTTAATAGACTATACATGACCAAATAAGAGAATTTCAGTGTTAAGATTTACATACCCTTTACAATTTTTCCCTGCAGCTACACAGACATAAGGCTCTTTTGTATTGCAGATTGTTCATAGTTGACACAAACTGTTGTACAGGGGAAGGGAACCGCGGCACTCCAGCTTTCAAGTCCTCAAGTCCCATGAGGCATTACAAGATTCTGACAGCCACAGGCATGACTCCCAAAGGGAGGTGCATAATGGAAGAATGGCATTGCAAGATTCTGATAGCCACAGGCATGACTCCCAGAAGGAGATGCATAATGCAATTTGTAGTTTCACCACAAACGGAGTGCCGAAGTTGCCTACCCCTGCTGTATATTCTTTGGACATAACAGTTTTGTTCAAACTTAGCCAAATAAGGTATTCTGGGTAGACTAGGACCTCTTGTGGACGCCAGATCTCATTACTATATCAAGTACTTGGTAATCACTTTAGTTCATTCATGTTGCGGTGGTATTTTGAACCCACACAGTCTCTATACTGTTATTCTGGAGTAACGAAGCAAGCTATACATATGCAGCTTAGGTAAAGAGAATATCTGATCCTGCTGGGAATGGAGGAATTTGGTGATTGGCTCAGTGCTGTCGCATGGGGACTTGGAGAGAGTAGGCTTTTATTAGATACTTGGAGCTTACACGGTGCTCTTTTTCTTCGCTTTTGGCAGCTGAACGGAGCAACGGAGGAGTAAAGCAAAGGTGAGTAGGGGGCATTAATGAAAACCTGCCTGTTCTGTGTGGGCAAACATAGGTTGTTTTAATCTAATATGCATTTACTGGCAACTTTTTGCCTAAGAAAAGTCAAATTTTCCCTTGTGTGTCTTTGAAGCATACTTTGTCTTGTTTTCTAGTGGCAAAGATGGAGTGTTCCGACGTTACCATGGCTCCCGAATGGTTGAGGATCTCCTCTCCTTCATTGAAGAGAACAAATGGAATATGATAGAGCCAGTTGCGGGGTGGAAGTCTCCTTCCTCCGTCTTGTAAGCCCTAAATATATTTGTTGTAGTCATCTGCAGTGAATGCTTATGATATTTTTGGAAATTATTTTGGATTGAGAAATAGTTTGGCAAACAGTTGTTTACTTTTCAGTGCCTCTTTGAGTCTTTCCTTTATACACATATCTAGTGACCCATTCCTTGGTAAGAACAGGATCTCTACAGTGTTACTTGCACAGGAACATTTTTGATGGCAAAATTAAAGTTGACATTGCATCTCAGTGATCTGGTTGTGAAAGAAGTCTTTTTAGATTTACTGGGTCCTTAATCTGGAGAAAGAAAGCTAGGCATAGACTTTAGGGAATGGTTGCACATGTAAGTATTATCCGAACTTCTCATGATGTCTTTTATCCCAGCTTTAACCATAAACATTCATGGTTAGGCTGTGCAGGAGGGAAGAGTGAGGTGTGCCTGACTTGCTTCAGCCAATGCTAGTTTAAAATATGGGAAATTACCCCTTCACTGAAATCTGTTGGCCTAGACTGACTGCAACTGCCCACAAACATGCGATAATCCTCTGATGTGGCTGCAAGTGGAATGGGAAAAAATTTCAACATGTTACAGCCACCTTATAGGGAAATTTATAATGGTTTTCTGTTGGCTTTATGTTTTTGTATTTCATTTATATTTTTGCATTGATGTTTTATGTTTTTTACTATGTATATACAGTCTTTGTTTTACAAATAAGGATTTAATATAGAGTGCACCTGTGTCACAATATTCACACAGCACTATGGGTGTTCTTAAGCAAGAGCACAGCAAACGCTGCCTTAGGCCCACTCTAGCTAAATCCCTGAGGCTGATTCACAAAATAAAATAAACATTTAAAACGAGCAGGGATTAACCGTGAGAGAGAGAATGATCCACATGCTCTCATGGCTGAGCAAACGCATGCAATAGCTATCCAAGAACCTATCTAGCTGACATTGAACATCCAAATGTTGCTTGTTCCTATAAGGTGAACCACAAAATTTGCACACCCAACATTTGTTTTTAAATAACCTGAAATAAAAAAAATGACACCAAAGTCAGGATATGTAGGGGGATGTACCACTGGAATCTGTATTTCAGGCATCAGAGTTTAGAGTCTTTTACTCTGACTAGTGCTGTAACTTCTAAACATGTGTACAGTGATCCGCACAGGTGCTGAGCAGTACCCCCATAGGAGCAGTTCCCTGATGATTTTCAGAAATGAATGTTTGTTTGTTTGGTTTTTTTTTCTCCTGTAATAATAGCTCTGCACACATGGTGCAGTTTTATTACTATCGGGAAAAAAATAAAAAGATAAAGTCCTGTACATATAATAGCTGTATATAAAATGAATATAAAATTTTTTAATAAATATGTAACTAAGTTAAGTGACATACAGTATGTGTGCCTAGAGTTTCACTTTAAAAGAACTTGTGAATCAGGTATTATGGCTTTCCTGTGCGGGTACATCCTTCATTTTTTAACTGGGGCTGTGTCGTGGCTTTCAGAGGGTTATATCCGTTGCGATGTATCCAGACTTTTTACCTTTAAACCAATTCTCCGCCAAGTCTGGAAATATCGCTGTGATTTCAGTCTTCAGGATGCCCTGTTTTATTTCATTTTGATGATATTGTTCAAAATGAAATAAAGGCAGGAAATGCCTAGAAGAGCAGTCAGTGCCAGCTGCATCCGGATTCAGATACAGCTAGCGAGATATATATTTGCTTATTTTCGTATAAAGTTCCCTGATTTAATCATTTGTATATCAAATGGCATTATGTTCATGTATTATAAGTTGGTATAACCATTGGGATTAAAATGTATCAATCATTCCAAAACCAGGTATAGTAAATTTCTTTGCCTCTCTTAGTTTAGGTGTATTTGTCACTTAATGTATATAGGTAACATAGGTATTCATCACCTCTTAAATTGATCACAGTACTTCTAACGATGCTTTCTTATTCCTCTAGCTTCAGAAGGCTGACTCTTTTTATTCATGCATCATTCAGGGCCATTGTCAATTTCTTGGACCAAGAAGTTGGCCCAGGGATCAGGAAGGCGATCCTGCTGTCTGCACATTGGTCTTTGTTTTTGGCTATGTGTATACATGTTGTGTCACACAGATTAGCATCTTTGCTGCTGCCTAGTGATGATTTGAGTCTTGGTTTGAACCCAGTGCACTTGAGTCAGGCTTTAGTTTTCAGAAGGCTTGGGCAAACATCATTCTCCCAAGATGCTCCTAGGCACAGTCACTTGACTGGAGCTTAAGGCCTTAAAGCTACCGTTCAAATAGAATCTCCAATCTCAGTAATATAAGAGAATTCTGCAGGTTAAAAACACAAAATGCACTGCTCACCCCTTTCTTGCATCCTTATATTCTATACTCTATAACCCTCTTCTGGAGTAATTGTCTCCAAAACTGCAAAACTGGCACACAATGCTCTTCAAAGAAATTACATGTTATTCCACATGCATCTGTACAAAGAGCAACCAGTTTTCTTTGGAAGGGCATCGTGTGCCGGTTCTGAGGGAATTCTGCAGGTGCCTGCTCATACCTGCAGCAGCCATCCAAATCATCCTGTCCCAACTGAATTCCAGCCTGTGTGCAGGCAAAGTTTCAGCATGTCTTGATAGTGCTGAAGGTGGCCCACCCATTACCCTCTCTATCAGATTCTTATTGGCCTGTGAAGTTGTCCAATATAGTAATAGAAATGTGTGGGGGGTCGAGTTTAGTGGCAAGCTCTACCCAGAAGTGTCATTATGGAATCTTTCAACCTGGAAGTCCAGCTAGCATTTATTGGAAAGAAGTCAACAATGGCAGCCTTCATAGTTCTCTCAATACAGGTTGTCTTTGAAATAAAGGCTTTATTCAAATTGTTCAGGTTGGTACTGTAGACTCTTGACACATTATTTCATGGCATGCAACATTTTCCCCATGTTCTAGTTATTGTGGATATGGCTTCATGTAGACATGAGATAGGTGTCATACATACCTTCTACGTATACTAAATATAAGAGCAGGGCAGCCATGTGTTGAAGAATGCTGGGAATAAATTGTGAGGCACTCAGCAGGAAGCCTGTGCTAGATGAAATTAAATAAAATGCATATTTTTGTGTTAGTTGAAATGCAGATTTTCATGTTCAAGGGCCCGTTAAGGGCTTGTTCACACCATGACCATACCATGTCCAGACCAGAACAGTTTGTTCCCGGACCAAAAAAAGCATCCCAATGTATCCCTATGATATTTCTGGGCTCTGTTCACACCAGTGCAGTCCGTTCCGGTCCAGACAAAAAAAATACTGCTTGTCTTATTTTCTTTGGTCTGGAACGCATGGAAACACATCTAAAATGCATACAAACGAACTGGTCTGCACCTGAAAGCCCATTTTAAGCTGAGAAAAAAAGAAATGGCAATCCGTTGCATTGCGATCCGTTTTTCAACGGATGCTGATGGAAGGGCACCAAAAATGAATGGGTGTGAATTGGACTAGTTCACACTGCTCCGTTCCATTGCGATAGGTTACGTTGTGCTGAACATGCACTACTTTTTTTCAGCGCAACGTAATGCAACGGATCTGTTGTGGACTAGCCCCATTCGCACCCATTCATTTTCCGGCGCCCTTCCGTTAGCATCCGTTGAAAAATGGATAACAATGCAATAAATCTGAAGGAAATCAGAAGGTACAATTGCAAGTGAATGGACCCTCCGTTAACTTGCCATTTTCTTCCAATTTTGGGGTGAATGGGCACTTAATGCTGTGTACCTATAATTTGATGTATACAGTGGGGTGGGAAGGGGGGGGGCATTTATCAACACTGGAGCAGACAAAATCTGGAGCAGTTGCCTATGGTAACCAATCAGCTTCTCTCTTCAGTTTGGTCAGTTAAGATTTGAAAATGAAAGAGAGAAGCTGATTGGTTGCTGCTCCAGTTTTTGTCTGCTCCTGTTTTCGTAAATTTCCCAAACTGTTACCTTACCCAATCGGGGCACAGTGGCAATGTCTGTGTTGCCCAACCCTCACCCCAATAATAGTCACCTCTCCAGGAATCCTTCACCACTGCTTCCTCGGCCCGCAACCAATGCAACATACCCAGTGCCTATTGGTATGGGGGAACCTCCTCCCACAATGCAGTGTGCAGACATAGCACCCAATTGCTCGGCCCGAGCAGAGTCACTTAAGTTAAACTTTGAAAATGAAAGGTGGATGCTTATTGGCTGACATGCACAGCTACTCCCAGATTTTGTCTGTTCCAGTCTTGATAAATTCCCCTCAGTGTGTTAGAGGACTGAGAGTGACTCCCATAGGAAGTAAATTCAGTTTTATTATCTCTAATAGTACTTTTGTAGTGGTTGACAATGGATCTGCTTCTCCTTTCAGCCTGACATTGTTCTTCTGTCTTTTCCCCAGGCAAGACAGGAAGGGAATTTTTAATTGTAAATCATAGGCGCTGATTGTGTTTTGTATTTCTCTGAATGATTCTTAGTTCTGTTCACTTCTAGGATGACTGGAATGGCCGGACTGTTTCATCTATCTGGATGGATCCGGGTAAGAAATACAACCAAATAGCTGTGCAATGTGTTTTCTGTATTAGTACAAATTTATAGTAGTATTAAACCTGAAAGTAACTTTAAATAATCTTACTCCCCCTGCTATGCTAACATGTAAGTTGCCCGAGGAGCCGATTAGTGACTCTGACAGCACAGGTATCCCAGTCACATGACCCCACTCAGCTGGCTCCATCTTCCAGACCTAAAAGCCATATGGAGCTTAGGGCTGATGATTAGCAAGTGTCAGACCGTTTTGTTGCAGCTTAGGTTCTAGGTTAGTGGGGGAACTAAAGGTGCCCATGCACCTTGCGATTACCGTATGAAAAACGAACGTGATCGTGTTTTTGTACGATAAATGGTCAGTGGATGGGAAGTGCACAATCGCAATTACTGTACAACTGGCCGAATTTGGTTAAATGGGCAGACTAGAAAACTTTCGTCAAAACGGACAGAAATTGATGATTAGTGGCTTTTCGTGAAACTAAAATTGCAACAGGAACACTGCAGATGCGCAAATGAAAGTCTGTTCTGTTGATCGACGAAATTCGGCCAGTTAGTATTGCTGATGATCGATTATTGAAATCTATATTGGTCTGTGCATGATGGGCTATTTGAGCGGAAATTGAACGACGGTGCGATGACGAGACAAAAAAAAATTGAACGATGATTGTAAGGTGTATGGCCACTTTTAGAGTTACGTTATGGTCTAGTTCCACTGTTAGAAAACTTCAGTTAGAACCACCTGTATATAAAATGACCACATAATGTAGACTCAGAATCATTCAATAAAATCTACAATTTCAGTGAAATAAATGTACTTGATGATGTCCCTATTCCAGATTCATACATTATAATTGAAGCTTGACTCTGTGGTTACTCTTATCATTGTCACTCCTGCAGGGCCGTCTTTAACGCAGGGCAAAAGGGGCAGTTGCCCAGGGCCCACTCTAGGTAGGGGTGTGTTTTGTGGGGGGGTGGTTGGTTAGGAGTGGGGGGCCCAAGAAAATGTTTGCCCAGTGTCCAATCAGTATTAAAGACGGACCTGCACTCCTGAGCAGGTTTGGAAACTAGAATAAAGCTCGGCTCCCTCAATGCAGTAGTGGCTTGTTCTGCCACATTCTGTGTAAGTTGTGCTGTCACTCAGGATGATGAAGGGGAAGGAGTGGCCACAGATACATAGCATGAGTAACTGCTGGGTAATTAGCTGCTTTTCTGTTGCAAGCCAAGAAGGTGAAGATGTTAAAGTGCACAAAATGACAAACGGAAGCAATAGTGAGCACTGTGTTTAAAGTATATCTAAACATAAGAATACAAATATCATTTACTGCAGCATAGCATTCCTTTAGATGTGGTGGCTGCATTCGTTTTCTTTTTTCATGCTAAGTACATTTATTGCAAGTATATATCATCTCTATGTAATGGAGATGAGATGTTTGTAGTCCAAAGTGGAGAGCAGCCCAGGGTGCCAACATTGCTCCTCTATAGATACAGAACGGTGAGCGAGTGTTGTCACCCTAGGACATGAAGTGTGTTACTGACAGGACTACCAGGTAAAGGAAATAAAAAAACCCCAATGCAGCCACCACATCTAAGGAATGGTAAGTTGCAGTATACTACTTTTTTATGTATTTATTTGTGTGTTTATATTAATGTAAATATGTTGATGTCAGAGGACATAAATTAAGAACAAGTGTTAGCCGACTGTTATGAGATGGAGCCCTTTCAGTAGTAATACCCCCAACACAGCCCCCCAACAAGAGCAAGAGGCTTCACAAATAGTGACATCTACAAAGTTGCTGTTGGAATTTCCACATTCAAGCACCAAGACATTGAGCTGTGGGATGAGGCAGAGGGGATGTGTATATCCTCCACTACCTGGAAGTAAATGGAGCTCCGGAGATGGACATCACTATGGAAAATGTGTGAGCTCAACACTTTAACCGTGCTGCTGCAACTTTCAGTGTAATGTTAAGATTACCATTAGTATCCCCCAACAATATGTATATCAGCATGTAATATTAAGGTATTTATTGCTATGACATTATATATTTTGTATGATGTTTAGGGTTACTAGGGGCATATTTATAGAGCAAAGGATCTGGGATTCACCAGACATTCTCTGCAGGTTAGTGTTCCAGATACGTGTGTTTTAGATGACAGTGATTGATTTACCACTAGTGGATGTTTAGTGAAGATCACACTCACTGCTTTACAAACATGCCACTTAGGGCCCATTCACACCATTGCAGTGTATGAATGCATTTGAATGGGCTGCAAATTGCACCAAATCGCACCAAAAAAGGTGCAAGTAACATTTTTGGAAGTGCATTGTTGGCAAGGAGCGTTGCTATTCAAATCGAATGGCACTGCATCACACTAACCTGTATAACAGTTGTGTGCACATTGCTGCGGCACAATAGTGTAAATGGGCCCTTACTGTAGAGTTTGGGGTGTGCCTGAAGTTAAGTTTTACGTTTCGATTGAGATTACTGCTTGAGTTTGGGGTTCGCGTTCTAGTTAGGTGGTGGTTCTTGCAGGCAGAGCTATATGCTACATGCATACAGTGTGTGAGAACAGCCATGGCTAGCAATGGTAGCTGTCAGATTTGTACTCTGTACAAATCATTGGCTGTCACCACTGCGATTACATGTGAATACAGCCTCTGACCCTGGACAGTCTATGTCCGGGGACGGCATTGGGACGGCATTTCTGGCCACACACAAAGTGTCTGCAGATAATTGGGCGGTTTGTATGCGGCCGTAGCACAGAATGCAGCTGTGTCCAGAAGCGGCTTTAGTTGCCTCTGAACACAATAAATGATCCTCCCTCATTGGCTCATCTGAATAATGCCTTGGGGTTTGTCACATCTGATATCATAAATTAATTAACAATCTATAAAGTGTAATAACTATATAACGCAGCCAATGGAAATCATTTGTACATAATCTTTGTTCTGGCCGAAAGAATATAAATCAGAATTTTCTCCATTCTATCCCCCCAAAAAAGAATAAAGCTCCATTCTCCATTTGTACTTTCAAAGAGCAAATCTCTGTACTGACATCAATGGCATAGTATCTTATGTACATTAGTGACTTTACAGAAGTAGCAATCTAAACTTTAGTATTTATCATATCATATTCTTTATCCTGCTGTGTGTTATTGCTAACACTTTAAGTGCAGGATGTCACTCGCTTCCACCCACCCAGCTAATCATTGTTAATTATTGCTGTCTGCTGGCAGTGTAAAGTGCTGTCTGCACTCTGCACTTCATTTTCCTCATGTCTTATGAAGTTGGAAGTGTTTGATGGTGTTACTGTAAAGTTTTAAGATTTCCCCCCTTCTCTGTTATGTATGAGATTTCCAAAACGGAATGTTCCTGCTTTGTAACTTGGCGCCACCTACTGGCTCTCTTCAACAAATGGTAAAAGCCATTTACTCTGTCAAAAAAGACACAGATTGCAATTCACATAAAGGTGACTTCACAGTGTAACCTTTACAGTAGGATTTAATGACAGTCTGCCATTTAAAATATGTGAATTTCATTAAGTATGGTGCTTACATTTGTAAACCATAGGTGAAGGCAGATAGAATAGATCCTGATTTTAATCCTGCACTGCATTCATGAAAATGACTTGTATATTTAAATAGTAACTTTGTCTGCCTTTTGTACCAACCTCATTTCAATTACATCTTTTAATCAATGAAATTGAAGCTATCAATTCATTGCTCAGCTTCGACTTTACATTCGACCGAATTTTGGTGGCCATGTGTGGGGCCAGCTCCTTTCACCTTTCGTTCAGTGAGAGCTCCTCAGTTGCCATTAGGGGAACTCTTAGGACCCGTTCACACTAGCCGTCCGCTAAAACACTGCTGTTTAGAGGACGGGCTAGTGCTTCGTGCAGCTACAGCAGTGCGTGTTGTATCCCACACCGCCGGAGCTGTCCCTGTTTGCAATTCTTTTTCTTCTTTTTTAAACTTTATGTGGAGTGTACATTGTGTACATTCTAGGGATGCACCAATACCGGTATTTCTGGCCAATCAGGAAGCCAGGCACTGTTTAATGACGTGGCGCCTGGCTTCCGGATTGGCCTCGTCATGAGGAGTGTGGTAAAATGCAGGACACCGCAGTATGTGTTAACGGGCCCTTACTGGACAGAAAAGGTACAGGTGGTCATGGTTTAGCCTTAAATCAGGGAAGGTAAACCCTTAGGAACTGAGCTCAGCGTAGCACATAACTGACAATCCTGCCAAGTGGTCTTGTGCTGGAACTTACTGCTGTAGGGTGACGGAAGCAATTAGAAGACAGGGACAGGGCACTAATTGCTGTCCTGCGTTGTCACCCTGACACACACTCTTCCAGTGGAGATTACTTTAATACTTTAGAGTCATTTTTGATGTGACTTTCACTTCTTTAGAAGCCTGCATATTTATGTAACTTAAAAAAATACAGACATTTGTGGAATAGCCACTATAAGGTGCTCTTAGTGCTCTCACTCTATCTTTCTCTTAACAAGTGTTGAGCTAAGATATCCGCCACAAAAGGAGTAGATTGTTTGCCATGAGTCAGCCACCTCATGAATTGTGATAAGGAGTAATAATGCACAACTATTTGTGCAGCAGTGCCAAGCAGGGAGAAGAGCTGCATATGTATTGAGGAGGTATGGCTACCCCCATGTGCATATACAGTTACAAATTATACATAGAGACTAGGATTTTATAATATTAGTGCATGTTGATAAGATTGCTTACATCAAGGTAATCAATTTTATACTGTATGTATATCTATATAAAAGAAGCAAAAACGATATATTACCTTTAAAACAAACTTGCAGGCTTACCTTTCATGGTAAAGAATCCCTGGGACTTGAGAGCAAGTACTGTCACAATTACTTCCATAGTACCCCAAAGTCCCCAAATCTGGGGCAAACTAATATTGAAATGGCAATTAAGATTGGCACGGTTGTGCCCTCATCAGATCAGGATGCAATCATTCCAGCTATGGTTTCTATTTGTATATTATTTAGACCTGGGTTTTACGAAGCCAAGACCTCCCTGGCATCTGGAGCCACATTACCAGGCAAAGTTAGCCTACGGGTCTGTTTTTGAGCTACAGAACTTATACAATATTGAAACCTATTCCATCAGTCATAGAGTATAACATAGCACATTATTTAGCCAGTAACTGTAAACAATTCCTTTTTTTTTCTAAATAAATGAAGACCTTTTGAAAAGACAAGGCAGCATAAGTTGACATCAGCCTATCTTGATTGAGCTTCTGATTATATGGATTTAGTGAATTCACACATATTGATTTTTCTGATTGAATGAGCTAAGCCCAGTATTCACAGCATATACTCAGCCCAGTCTGTGTCACAACTCAGAGGAAGATAACAAAAAAGGAATAAAATTGCTACTGCTGCCTATTGTCCTGAGGGTATGTGAGAAATCAATAGTTTATCTTTGTGAAAGTGACCTTCTCAGGCATTGTGTTTCCTCTGTATTTCTACCATTACACCGTATTTGAGCTATTGCCAATCAGATGGATTTTTTTGTGTTTTCAGAAATGCTTTATCACTGCGTGTGTGTTTTTGTTAGAGCACACAATGGCACTTATCATAGTAAGGTTTGCTGCATCTCCCTTAATTATTATAGGAGAGGCAATGCACACGATACACTTCTGCAGTCAGGTACTGTATATGTGACCATAACATAAGAGGACAGCCTTTCATTCTGCTTTTAATGTATGATGTTGTGTGACGATCACAAAGAAGCTTTTTTTTTTTTTACCAATGCTGTTCTCATGCTGATTAGTCGTTGTTGCCTGATTTGTTACCTACATTTCAGTTTATCTTTCATACGATATGTCAGATCAGTATTTGAGAAAGTCTGAAGTAGGGCTCTGATGGTGCTTGGACCTTTTGGCTTTAGGGGGTGCTTGTAGTGACTGGAACGGATGCAGAGGCGTAACTAGAAACCTCAGGGCCCTGATGCAAGAAACTATGAAGGGCTCCCCCCTGCTGCGGAGCATTGGCCTGCTGGGAGCTGTAGTTCCAGGAGGCAATGTCGGTGCCTCAGCAGTTACTGGGCTGGGCCCTCTTCTTCCTTTCCAGGTCCCCCAAGTAGCAGAACGCCAGTGCCTGTTCGCGCATGCGACCATGGGGGTAACACAATGAAGGCATGCTGGGACATATAGTACAACTACAAACAGCATGTAGTCATTGTCCCTGTACAGCCCTCCACATCACCCAGGGAACTACATGTCCCAGCATGCCCTCATTGTCCTGGTACACCCCCCCCCCAACACACATAAATCACCCAGGGAACTACAAGTTCCAGCATGCAAGCCCCCTGCAGTAGTTCCCTGGGTGATATGTGAGAGGTGTGCAGGGACAGTGAGTACATGCTGGGACTTGTAGTTCCCTGTATGATAGAAGGCTCTTTTAATTACTTTCCTCATGAAAATACTAGTAATACAATGCCAATATAGTACAGTAACTTTCAAGTTTGACTATATTCTATTCTAAGTTCTATAATGGCATTGCATTACTAGTACTTTCATGAGGACAGTGATTAAAACAGGGAACTATATGTCCCAGCTGAACTGCCAACTTGTATTTTTCTAGTAATACAATGCCATTATAGAACATGGAATAGAATATAGTTGAACTTGAAACTTTCAAATTCAGCCATGTTCTATTCAATATTCTATAATGGCAAGTAGTCACGGTCCTCTTGTTCTCATGGCTGGAGGAAGCTTGAGCAGGCTGTAAAATAAAAACTAGCCTGGGGAAATGCAGCCGGAAACCTCCAGACGGGCCTTACTGTATTATCAGACCGCTACTGCTGGGTCCTCGCGCCGAGGCCCCAGTTCTGCCCCATTATTTGCCTGTGTTCAATGCCTGGCCCGCCTGCTTTTCACTGCCCGGAAGCCAGCACAACCCCCTCCTGCCCGTCCGTTTGTCTGTCTCTGCGTTTGGGGCAGCTACACCATCGCCCCCCGGTTGTTACGCCACTGCCGGTGCCCCTTCTTCCTTCCTTGGCCCTCCCAAGTGGCGGAACACCAGGGCCCGGTCGCACATGCGACCGCTGCGACCCTGGTAGTTCTGCCACTGAACGGATGTCACCGTGCATAGGCAGAGTTGAAAAGTAAGAAGTTACCTGCACTCCAAGGATACATTTCTAATTTCTACGATTTATTGTGAATGCATAATGTCACCAAGGTCAAAACTGCCAACATTTCGGAGCCTCACAGAATTCCCTTCCTCAGGGGAAACGCATCCTCGGAGTACTAGTGACTTCTTACTTTCAAGATCAGTATTTCATCCAATCTTTGCAACCCAAGGCCATCTGTTGCAGCCGTTCGTGCATGATAAACATACAGATGGTTGTACAAGCCTCATATTTGGACCACTTTGCGATTGTCAGTGTGCCTTGGCAGATGAGAACAATGGGCACGTGCACTATTTAATTGGTACCTAATTTTCGTTTTTAATGGGGAATTAAATATAAATTCACTTTTCCATGTTGTCTATGCAAAAAATATTAATATAATGGCCTTTAAAGTAGGTACATTTGTTTCAAGAATCATGACCTGCAGTTTCCTGACTGTTTACGTTCTACTTTGAATAAGATGCTCATTCAGAGCAGATTTCCCATTCCCCAACCATGCTCTGTTGCAGCAGAACAGAATATAAACATAGCTTGGGATGGGGTAGACCAGGCTGCTTGAAAATTGATTTATCTCTGGTTTGCACCTTCTTTGAGCACCCTAAAGCTGGCCACACACCTATAGATTATCTGCAGATTTTCTATGGTCAGATGGAGTGCAATGGATTCCTCCATCTACGCTAAACTGTGTGGATGGCGAAATCTCCCACTGGCCCAAGCTTCAGTTTCTTCCTAGTCGACCTCACTGGCTCTCAAAATACCTGAACAATGCCTGCATCCAATCAGATTGTTCAGGTATTTTGACAGCCAGTAAAGGTTTCTTGCTAGTCGACCTCACTGGCTCTCAAAATACCTAAAGCAATGCCTTGATCCAATCACATTGTTCAGGTATTTTGACAGCCAGTAAAAAGGTAGTAATTGAGGGGGAGGAGTTGTTTCAGAAAGTAAAATTCTGCCTTAAGTCTCCATACACTTGGCGTTTGTGTTTCTTGTGCAGTTTTCCATGCGGAAGACCAAGCTACACGCAAATGCTAAAATCTTTCATCTGCATGGATGCCGCTCATTTGCGGCTATTACTATATCCGCCCGCAAACATGTGGAATCTGTCAAAAAATTGCGCTTTGACTATGGTGCGCCACAAAAGTCTGAACTTTTTTTATGTCTTTGTATGGACGAATACGCACGGACAACCGCTCCTGTGTGAATGGAGCATTGGATGACCCCTGAAGGGAGCACCTAAAGGCAGACAGAGTTGGAGATAGCCTGAAAGGATGGGGAAGGGAGTTCCAGAGGATGGGAGAGATTTTGGATTAGTCCCAGAGGCGAGCATGGGAAGAGTTGAGGGAGCAAGAGAGCAGAAGGTCTTGGGAGGAGTGGAGAGATCAGTTTGTGTGAGACGAGGTTGAAGATGTAGCCGGGGAAAAGAGCTGTGGATCGTTTTGTAAGTGGTTGTTGATATTTGTAATGTTGTTCTTTGGGTGACTGAAAGCCAGTGGAGGGATTGGCACAGAGGGGTTGCAGACACTGAGCGGTTGGTAAGGTGGAGGAGTCTGGCAGCAGCATTCATGATAGACCGAAGGGGGAATAGAGATTGTAGAGGTAGACAAATGAGGAGGGAGTTGCAATAGTTGAGTCGAGGGATAACAAATGAGTTTATGAATACTTAGCGGTTTCATCGGTTAAGAAGGGGCGTATTTTGGAGATGTTACTTGGGTGAAGGCGGCAAGATTTGGACAGTGACTGGATGTGGGACTGCAAGGTGAGGTCAGAGTCCAGGATAACACCTAGCACCTTGGCATGGGGGAGGGAAGGATAGTTGTGTTATCGATCTCAATGGAAAAGTTGGGGTAGAGGGCATGGAGGGGGAGGACATAACATGAGCTCTTGAGTTTTTGAAAGACTTGAGAAAATTAGTGATGCACAAGAACACTGTAGGTGTAAGCTGCGGAGTGGAGAGATCTGTGTGTCTTCAGCATTGAGATGGTATTGGAAGCCATGCAAGGTTATCAGCTGACCAAGTTAGGGCTTGTAGATAGGGAATTGAATGAGTCTGAGGACAAACCTTGGGGATCCCTATGTAAAGATGGACAGGAGAGGAGAAGGTATAGTTTTAGGTGACACTGAAGGAGTGCTTAGATAGATATGAGAACCGTGAGACAGCAGAGTCTTTGAGGCCAAGGTAGTGGAGCTTTTTGAGGAAGAGCAGGTAGTCAACTGTGTCAAAGGCAGCAGAAAGATCTAATAGTAAGAGTAAAGAGTAGTAATAAAAAGTACATTGAACATCTGCTAGTAAGAATAGGACCCCCTTGCCTCAGTAGATGGTTTCACTCTGGAATCTATCAAAAGTTAAAATATCAGTTCTGGGTGGACTGACCCTTTAAACAACAAGTGCCACATGCCTGGTGTGTGTTTTAGTTAATAGTGACCTTGTCAGATGAATGACTTTGCAGAGTGTAACATGTTGTTTCTCTGTATTGTAAAACAAGAATGTGTCAGCTTGTCACACTAATAACTTTGAGCACAGGCTGACCTCACTGAATCCATTAGACGTGTTGCTGGAGGACAAATATATTATTTCTTTTTGGCTGGCAATCTTTATATATTGATTTTATAACATATTAAGCGTTACTTCTCTTTGTGAAGCTGCATGATATCCTGTGAACATGCATAAAGACCCATTATTGTCATTTAAAGGGATTTTGTGTTTATCGTCTGTTTGCTGGCTAATAACGATTGATCCTTGTGTTTATGTTTTAGCAAACGCACAACTACTTCACAGGCCCTTTGGGAATGCCTGCTTGGGGCTCTTACATCGTTTTTGTCATGGCTACCTTGTTGATTGGACTCATTCTTGGGCTGGTAAGACATACTAACATTTATTATTATTTAATTACTGAGCAATACATGTGCATTAAAAATTATGTAGCATGACCTGTGAGTCATACATTTTGCACACCATTATAAAGGGGTCAGAGGACTGAACACTGGCAAACTAAAAATCTGTAGGTTAGCCTAGGATAACCCCTCCTACTAACAGCATACCTCAGTTTTTTGCTAGTGTATTAAGAGGATCGTCATCTATTATTCAGCTCTGCTGTGTTAAAGACTACCTTATTTTTTCTAGCATTTTTGTTCATTCAAGACTCTTCTCTTCATCACTGCTGGAGCTTTGTCTCTTCAATTGCAGCTGTCTGGCATGGTCCTCCTCAGCCTGGTTTTTAGAGTACTGCATTTGAACCCACATGAACTGGATATTGTGGTACTAGCCTGGAAGTGACCTTTGGACACTGGGTTCTGCACGGGATGCTTATAAGACTCCATTCTAGTAAAAGTTAGGATCAGGGCACTTTCCAGGTCTGGAGCTGCTGGCATTGCTTCAGCACTTGCCCGGTCTCTAATCGCAGCACGGTTGCAACATGTCTGATTCTAGATACTGAGACAACAGTCCTGCTGTACTGGCGGCCCCGAACCACTTTTTACTAAAGTCCCCGGGGTTGCTTGCAGGGCACCTACTGACTGTGCCAACGTTTGCAGCCTAGAGTCACGTTGCCCTCTGCTCTTGGAGTTTGTTCTGTTTTCAAAGTCCTCTAAAGTGTCATCAGGTGTGGTTGGGTCCTCTGCAGCTTCTGCTGAGGTCCTCATCATGATCACATAAGCATTTATGGCCCAGATCACCCAGTTATTAGCTGACTTTGCAGAGGCCACAATCATTGTTCTGCATTTAATTTATCTGATTTGCCACAGCCTTAGTGGCTTCTGAGCCATGGGCCGCAGAGACTCTGAGTCGCTTCATTTCTTGACTGATTATTATTATACAGGACTGATGAGCTTACCCCTAAGTTGCTATTGCTTCTCAACTAAAGGAGACCATTTTCAAAATCAGCTATTTTGGTCTAGATTGTTCAGTTTTCCTGCCTTCTCCAAACTCTTCACCCTTTTGTGAATAACCTTGTGTGACTTTACTTTGTTAAACCATATCTAAATCCCTTTAAAGAGATCTAACCAATGATGTGGTTAATCCCTAATTTTACCCCAAACTTTTAACCATTGCCAAACCTAAAAGGGGCTTCTGTCTCATCTTGGACATCAAACCTTGGAATGTATTCATTTGGGTGCAGAACTTTTGCATCAAATCCACCAAATCTGTCATTTGACAGGATGACTTTCTGTCTTCTGTGGACATCAAGGACATTTACCTTTTATGTTCCCTTCTTTCCACCTCATCATGGATCCTAATCCTTCAAAAATTGTTGCTGGAGCCAACTCATCATTTGGAGCATCTAGGACCTAGTCCTGAATACAGCTCAGACCAGATTGTCCCTTCCACAGGAGAAACCTAAGACTTTCCGGTGTCAGATTTGAACTTTCCAGTTCCGGAATCTCCCAGCTCTCACCCAGACCAATGCTTAATGGTCTGTTATGCCTAGAGCAGGGTGAACCCAGAGGTTGTGATTTGGGGTCAGCATGCAGCCAAATCCATGTGAGGGTGTTCCTGCTGAATACTGGCTGGCCCTTAGACTCTGAACTTTGGGGGATCATGAGTGACATAAATCCAGTGAGGGCCGTGCTCTTTATTTTTAGGTACCAGTTTCTTTTCCAGTGTTCCCAATTTTTCTGAGAACCTGCTGTTGGTCTGCATCTCTTAGTCACTGCCTCCTGTGGGGTATCCCGTATAGTGTAGTGAATGGTCCACCTTAGGCAAAGGCCTTCCTGGCAGTGGTTCAGATTGTGCAACTGATATCCTTTTTATCATTCTGGATGGACCTCAAAAAGGCACCCCAGCTTCTTGTTTAACAATCTCTAGGTAGCTCAAAGCATCGTTCAGGCTTATCTCAATGATCGGGTTGCCACCTTTCCTGTTAAGGCTTACTCTGTTATATCTGTGAGTGCCCCTTTGGCTTTTTTTACATTAGGCAACTATATCTCCGATTTGTAAGGCTGCCACCTGGTCTTCTGTTCACATGTTCCCAAAGTTCTACAAGGTGGACGGCTGTGCCTCATCTAATGACCATTTGGGTGTAAGGTGCAGGCAGTCCCCAGTTTACTGTTATTTCTTTGGGCCTGTTAATATGTGCTGTATTGCCCACCCCTCAGTTGGACTTCTATTACATGTCTCAAAGGCTGAAGGCTTCCCCTTAATGAAGGAGAAGAGAATGTACTGTAAAATCTTTTTTTTGGAGTCCATTGAGGGACACAGGTCCCACTCCTTTGTGTTTATGATCATGCTCTCAGTACTAATTTGCTTCAACCATGCAGGTAGTAAGAGGGGTTATACCCTGGACTGGCCTACAGTTTATTTTGTTTGCAAGTGTCTAATCCTCCCATAGGCAGCAGTATAACCTGAATGTTTAAAGTAGTATTAATCCCTCACTTATCAAATAATTTTTACCTATAAATGCAACAGCTCTTTTTCAAAATGTCTTTTAATCTTTTATAACTCGCTTCTATATCTGTTTTGAAATACTTTTAAAATCAACCCCCATAGTCATCATGCTCATCAGCTTCCATTAGGTGTAGCACTTCCCGCAACGCACGGGTGTCTCCTCAGCAGCTGCCTTGCTGATAGAGACACCCGCATGCAGGGAGGGGGACTAGCAGTTTGGGGACTACTAGAGAACGAGGAAACAAAAAGCATTTCACTTAAGTCTGGTCCTGTTAATAAAAAGAAAATGAATATTAAAGTACCTCTGACAATGTTAAATATATAAAGAAATACAAATGAAGGTTTAATATCACTTTAGGAAAAGATACAATGTAGCTGTATTCTTGTAATGTTAATGCCTTGAGTTCAATAACAAATTAACATTTGCTTTGTCCCCCTGTGGACTTCAAGAGAAGAATTTTACAGTGAGTAAAAAAATTTTACTCTTATTTTGTAGTGCAGTATATTTTAAAACACAAGACAAAATATCTTACTGTGAACAAGCACATATTGACACTAAACCTGATGCAAGCCACAATCGGAACTGATATGTTTCTGTCTTGGCAGATTCCCTTTAATAAACATATATTATCTGTTTTGTTTGTCATCCAGATATTGGTCCTGCTTATAGATTGCTTTTGCCCAGCTAAACCCAAGTATGAAGAAGTGAGATCAGGTAAGTGTTCGGCCTTATAAATTGAGGGAACCTGACCTTCCAGCACTTGTGCTAACCAAAATAGATGTCTCCTTTAGAATTACAGGCAAATAGAAGGATTGGGCAGGTCATGTTAACTGTGTAGTAGCGGTTCACTTTAATAGGGGGTGTGCTCTATAAACAGAATATCAATGCACCTTATCCCTAACTGACTATGAACACACCATGAAGAAGAACATAGGGACTTTTCAGGGGCTTCCAACTGATATATAACAGAATGTCTAAAAAAAAATTGGCCCTTTTGTTGTTAGAATTTGCAAACATAAATATATAAACATATATTATATTGTATATGTCTTTAAACTTTTTTTTTTACAAATTGGTAGCACCTGAAAAGTCCCGACATCCTTCTTTATGATGTTTTAATGAGGTTGTGACAGACAAATATACAGTTTTAAAGTTTGTGCATTTCTATGGAAATGCAGCATGCTTTTAAGATGCATTCACCTTGCTATACACTGCTCCAGGCTCTGAATGCTTACAGTCTTCCCAGTCTCAGACGCAAGCTTCCTTCAGCTCGATCCAACCTTACAAATCAAGACATACCAAGGGCTGGTTCACACCACAAACTGTATTGCATCTCGGCCGGCTTCCTGCATTCAGGGGTGGGAGGGGGCGTAGCGGGGCAATAAAGTCAATGGCATTGCAGCCACACCCCCCCGAAGTGCGATCACCTGCACCAGAACGCATGGCACATTACTGCCCGCTTTCCGGTCCAGTGCGATCTGAAAAAGTGCTATTTTTGCAGATCGCACTGGATCAGAACACAAGCAGTGATGTACCACGTGTTCTGGTGCTAGCAATCGCACTTCAGGGCACCCCTCCCGCCCCTGAACGCAGGAAGCCGGCCGGGATGCGATACAGTGCGCTCCAGCAGCTGACCGCTCTGGAACTTAAGGAAGCCACACTTAATAATGTAATCACACTGTTAAAAAACTAGTCCCTGCTCACACTTGTGCAGTTTGGCCACCATGCGACATTGCAAAATTAAAGAAATCCCATTATTTTCTCTTGGGCTCATTCACACCTGTGTGTTGCCCTGTGACTTTGAAAAATGTGTAGCAGCTTCTTTTGGTGAATTTTTCAGCCCCACAGACGGCAATAGGCATGCATTAAAATAGCATGGAAAAATGCATGTTCATGTGTTGTAGCACATGACAACTAGCCTCCACCCCCTAGCATCCTACACTGTATTTAAATTGTCCAAAATAAAAACACAATGCATGAAAACCCAAAAAATTAATTTAAACAGAAGACTATAAAAACAATCTAAGAAACTCTTAAAAATGCAGATGCACAAGTCTGAATGGAGATTTATTGTGCTAAGAGTCCATGCAAAACCCACCCTTTTCTATTATGTTTAACTTCAAAGAGCCTAATCATAGAGTCATTGAGTGCATTTGTGCAATCATAGCGGTTCTACGATTAAACTTGTGCAAGGGAATCACATTACAGGGAGAAGCTCAAGCAGGTTGTCTGTAGACTCTGATCACAAGTTCAGCAGGATTGCATTCTGGAGTGCAACTGTTGCTACTTTCAATTAATTTACAGATGAATTTGACTCCCAACCTGCATTTGATCCTCTCCAGTGCTTCAAGCTTCTTTTGCATTCCAATTCATTTATATGGGGAGTCCTGAAGCAAACAGATCATAAAAATTGAATTGCCAAAATATTTTCTTTTTCTTTGGGTGGCAGAGGGTTAAAGGATTTACCCTCAATTCTTGTCCCAGAGGCAAGAACAGGAAATGAGAGAACATCTCATCAGAGTGCAGGGAAATTTCACTTTTGACAGCCGTCAGTGGATCAGGTGTCCATCCACATTGGCAGGATTCCCATTGTGTGGTGACACCTGACAGTTTCTGGACTTCCCTTTACATTCTCTCCTGGCGACAACTATTGCCAAGATAGGAAGTAAAGGTGCAACCCTTCCCCACTTTCTTTAGCACACAAAAGAAAATCTTTTGATTTGTAGAGATTTAAAGCTCAACTTCAGCTTCCAAAATAAAATAATAGCCCAGCCGGCTGTCCAGCGCTTCCCCTACAGACTTGCCACTCCATGATGCAACGCCAGTTGACTGTTGCCTAGCCGGAGTTAGGACTTAAGTCCGAGTGGGTGTCATTTTAATTTATCTGACAACTGACAGTGTGAGCATAAAGCAAGAAAAATTTAATATATTCTAAATGGCAGTAAGGATAACATATAACCCCAGTGATTGACAGATGTGATAGCTTTACATTGTGGAAAAATAAGCTACAGTGGGGGAACAGACACAAAACTGGCAACAAAGTAAACCCTGAGGAATCTGCTGAGAGCATTTTTAGATTTGATGCACGCAGACCCCTTTAAGGGAATTTTTTATTAAAATAAGAGGTAATCCTGAAACCTAATTGGGTGTTTGATAGGAAGCCAGTTCTCAGGGTCAGCATGAAGTCAATGTGTAAATTGTAAGCTTTGCCAAATAGAGACTGATGATGGTTTACTGCAATTACCCTATGGTTATTTTCTGTTATTTTATTTGACTTAATGCTTGTCCATGTGTAGCGCTATGAAATAAAAAAAAAGGAAAATGGCACAGATATCGTTATGGATTACAAAAACATGGGCTCTTTCAGAGTATGGATAGCATTCATTTCGATTTCTGAACTCTGCTTCAGTGTAGCAATAGCTCCCTAATGCCCATCTGATTATTATCTTTTATTTGTATATAGGGCCTTTTTTTAGCACTCATACAAAAATAAAGACTATCTGTCTTAGCCAAGCGCAGTTCATCATTTTCAGATCCTTGGACAGCTGGAGGGGAACATTGATCCTTTTCCGTGTGTTTGTAGATAATGAATGACAATTCAGGTTAGATTGTATGTTCTTCATAAGTGTTCTGTTTGAGGTAGAATAATGGTCTGTTTCTTCAGTATTTCTAAGAATGCCATATGTCCATGTAAACATCAAAGGCCTTCTTTAAACGATCAGAATTTCATGTGTACATTGCTGTAGAGGATACTGCATTTGTGGATGAAAACTCATGTGTTTGCCAGCTTAAGTCAAACTAGTTATTATAGAGGGCTGCATTTGAAACTGTCAGAGTATGATGAACAAGGAAGAGGCACTTTGAAGGAAAGAAGGGGTAGCCTGGTTTACCAAGCTTTCATGTAGCCAGTGGTTGATGCAGTGAGGTTCTTGACGATTGTAAAGGGCTCCCTGACACTGAAGGTGAATATTGTGTAATAAGCCAAATGGCTACAAATAAAGTACATAAGCACCAGGCAAAGCTTCTGCAAGTTAGTCTAAGGAATCCCTTTCTCCACAAAGGTAATGCTGCCGTTTGACATGCAATGCCTTTGTCAACTGATTTACTTTTGTAAAAGTATTTAATTTCCCCCCTCCCTAGCCCTGCATATTCTCAAAGACCTACAGTCCCCTGTTTAAGCTGCCTGACCTACACCGTGCAGCCAATGGGGAGCCACACAGCCAACGTTGCAATCTCTAACCAACTGGTCCCTTACTTATTCTGCACATACATGGAAAATCCCATTAATTTGTATGGAATTGCATTTTTATTCCCCTGCACATGCGCAGAAGTGAGGAGAGTTTTCAGTGTCTGTGTGACTCCTGGTTGGCCGCACGGCATGGGTTTGGCATGTGGACAGGTGAGTAGAAGACTTTGGAGGTTACTTGGGAAGATGCAATGATAACTTTACAAAAGTAGAACTCCAGTTAGAAAAAAAATTCAGAGGACAGTTACGTACAGTTAGAATATATGCACTTTCTTTAATGTTAATATGCAGTTGCAGGTAAATAATACAAATAGCAATTACAATTAATAGCAAGCACCTCCTACTACCCACTTGTCAGTTTTGATGTTGTATAGAGGCCCCTGGGACCACTAGGATTGACTAATACTATTAGAACTTTTTTTTGTTCTTCTGGTTGGGTTTTATTTTTTTTATCTTTTTAAGAAAACCTGCAATAGGAAACTGCACACTTTACATGTAGGGTGCTATACAGAACAAAGAGAACCCTTCCCAGCTCACATCTTTGCAAAATGCTTGATTTTTGCAGCTTAATGCAGTCTCACTTTTGTAAATACTGTAATATTTGCACTGCAGTGTGGAGGTACAGCTAGTAAAATAAGTGACTGACAACACCATCTATTTATAAACTGCTGCCTTAGTTTGTGTTAGGGGATTGTCAGTCCTTTTTCAGTTTCAATCAGCAGAACATCAACAAAAAATAACATGTCTACAGCTCTGTTTCTGCCAAATGGCCAGAACAGAAGGGTTAATTCTCTCCTCATTTATTCCAGATATTATTAAGGAGGATGTTGGAGGGTTAGAGAAAGATCCTAAGGACTCTGGTGATGAAAAGAATGTGTCTGACAACGAAGATGTCAGTGAAGAAGACAATGAAGAAGAGAAGGATGAGCAAGCAGAAGACAGTGAAGCCGTAAGAAATGCTGAAAAGGGTTCTGGGGAGGACTCTACAGCAGAGGACTCTGGGACAGAAGAGGAAGAGGACGACGTTGGCATGCACGTACCACATCCAAGCACACCCGAATCTGAAAGTGCCTTGAGACAACGCCGAAGTGAAGTGGCAGTTGAGAGTGAACATTAGTCATTTCTGTATGCCTAGATGTTTACCTTTTCAGGACCAAAGATGAGTCATTTGTTGCTGAAGTTTTTTCATAGTTTATCATGTAGCACGAGTCAGTATTGTGCATACAAATGTCTTTTTTTTTTTTTTTATGAAACCAGTAATTTTTTAAAGCTTTTTGCTGATTGTTTTGTGACCATCTCCTGACAATCTATTTTAAGACATGTTGGTTTATACCAGATTGTTTTTATTTAGTTATTTTGCATAATCCTCCAGCAAAGAGATATTTAGCTAAAATAGAACCCGAAGCACATGCTTGAATTTCAAGTACATATATGTTTACTGTTACACCTGCCAAAGAGTATATCATTCTATACAGTCATTTTTGTGATTTGTCTACCTGCCACAGTGCACAGCCATGTTTGCTACATCCTGGATCCTTCCCTGCTAACTGGACAGAGGTAATAATATAAGCTGGTTGTCCAAAGAGCAGGCTGGATGCAATGAGGTATCATGAGGAGTCGCACTGCTGAACTAGAAAACTAGAAGTCCCTTGGCAGGTAAAACAGGAAACATGCAGAATATGCATTTAAACTGTGTATTAAGATGCTATCCTGGAGTTCAGCTTCAAATATCTTCCAACAGGTTATCTTGTATTTGCTATAATTGTTCAGAGAATTGCCTAAAAATATCAGTGATTGTAGGGCCAGACTACTGCATTTTACTTATTAGGTATTTATTTTGTAATGTTGAAGGTCAAACCTAGTTTTAAGCTAGTTTCATGGCTTGAATATTGACCGATTCCTGCTGAATCTATTGAAATTCGAGCCATGGGTGGCCCTGTTGGTATCACCCGGTGTGACAAAAATCTATTTAAAAATCGACAGAGCTGGGTGGGAAATTGTTGGCTGCAGTGATTGCATCCTATTCATACAGACGTGAGTACTGTCTGAATTCAATAGCCTGCACGGCAGATTCCTCCATCCAAGCTGTTTAGAGCCTATGGAGGAATCTATTGATTTTTCTCTCATTCGGCCAATGAACTGAACAAAAGAAAGCGACAGGTGTATGCATAGATTCAGCTGGATAGCTACACACTGCAAGCATTGGCCCTTCACACACTGAATCACTGTTTTTAGTTCTCTCCTGAATCCACAGTCCAAATACCAGTTTGGATTTATCAATATGATATTGCAGTTCCAGTATATGCATTTTCAAGCATTCAATCACTGGGTAGTAATTCTTTTTTTTCCCCTACAGTTAGTGTGGTGTTCTAGGGCCAACATGATACATCTTCCAGCCTGATGACCCAGTGAAAAATGGCCAGCAATCCTAGTCACCTGGTGTCCCAACATGTAAGTACATACAATAACTCCCAGGACATTTCTGCAGGATCAGGCTATAACCCATTTATTCAGGAATATAGCAGCTACAAAGATGAGTGGTGTGAGCTTAGTTTCCCCTCATCATGGTAAGCACTTGAGAAAGAGCCCACTGAAATGCATGCAAAGCTGTGATGCTTGAATAAATGGGTTAATCTGAATTTGCAGAAGTCCCCTAGGACTTTTTGTACTTGTTGGGAGCAGACTAGAACTCCAGGCACCCACTGAGCAGCCATACTCCTCCATATATGTTGCATACTACTACCAGTACTACCGGTAGACAAATGTATGTACTCCTGCTGTAACAAATAGTTCTAATGCCTTGACAGGGTCTGGCCTGGTTTATCACACTAAATGCACAAAAAAAGAAGGTCACAGAAGGACATATGATGAAGAGCTTGAGCTCAGAAAAATGTATTTTAGGACTGCTATATCAGGTCAATTTATCAAGCGGAATTTATATGAATCTATAGGATGGATTGTTGGTTTCCATAGCAACCCAAGATTCAGAAACCTGTAGCACTGTAGACTGATCTTACAAAGTGCTGGCACGCTAGGCTGTCCTTGACAATAGTCTTCTGGTGGCAGAGGTGGGTACACCTACAGCTCCTCAAGAAGCACAAAACCACTCTGCCAGCAAAATACATTCACTTTTATGTAAACCACGTTTCAAGCTGTGTTTAAAGGGAAATTAGAGTGATTATGGGTTTTGAATTATTGTAATTGCTTGAAAGACATTTTTAATGTTTTTTTAATGTTCCATAGTTTCGCGCAGATATTTTATTTCTATTGAGTGGCCTTCTCTCTGTCTAACATTTCCCTTTTTAAACCACTGCTGGGATAAGATATGCCAGGCAGGAGTAATTGTTTTAATCGGTTGTAGCAGACCCATAGACAGAGAGAGGAACTCAAAACTGTTCTGCTGCCCTAGCAGACAGGAAGCACAAGCAAATATATCCACCCCTGTGCACACATTAAATTCTACATAGAAATACATTAACAGTGATTTGTATGGTTATTTATGTTAAAGTTAAGCTGTTATATCTGACAGATAGTACAAATTAGACGAAAAGTGAAAATCGGGCACCAAAATGTAGCTGCATGTACCCTTCTTTATGCTTCAGAGTTCTCTGGGAGCCATGAAATCTGGATCACACAATATCCAGATAATTGCTTCCATTACTGCAGTCAGAGCTCAGTGCACACCTCCCTTTTGGTCACAGAGGTGTAGTGTATTGGATTGAGGGGTGCTAGGTAGCAGACGCTTGTCAGAGGTCACTAAATACATATTGATCATCCCAAGTTTTTGTATTTCCAGAGAGCTTTGGAAGGTAAGGGGAGGTGCTTTTTAGCCATCTATTGGTGCCTGTTTTCAGCTTTTGTCAGCATTTGTAGCTGGTAAAGAAAACAGACTTGCTTTGAAGCAGCACTCCAGGCAGAGAAAAAAAAACACAAATGAATGCAGCTCTGTAATTGAAAAAATGTAATCAAATGTATTTTTTAATGCAAGCAGTGTACGTAGCTGAGTTTGACATGGTATCTTGCAATCCCCTGTACAGCAGAGTTCAAGCTGGAAGAGCGGGAAGCAGCATCAGCTGTGCTGCAATGCTCATGTGCTAACCAGAAACATGCTAATAGGTGGACAGAGTAGAGTGACAGTGAGATGAGCTCATTTTTTCCCCTTGTTTTGCTTTTCCTTTTTTCTGTTCTGTAAGTAAATGTTGCTTAACTGTAGCGGAGAAAAATATGGTCTCTTGTCCTGTTAGACAGTTCTGAGCTGTGTAAATCTCGTGACTGGATGGCCGGAAATACAAAAATCTTTTGGCAGGTAAAACAGCTTCCATAAATGTATTTGTCTAGAGTTTTAGGCTGATCACTTTCATGTGTAATGTGTATAACAAACATTAAAAATACAATAGATTCTCTTAAAGCTGAACTCCTGACAAACTGCTAAATATCATATGTCATGTCATCTCTCTGCTCATTCCACTCTTTCCTTGCCTCAGCATGTGCCTTGTTGACATATTTTCATGCAGCACATCCAATTGGCTCCCATTGTTGCCCCTCCTTGTCCCAGTATGAGTGCATATGTGTAGGCATTGCAAGAGGCTGATTTTTGCACTTAACAAAATACATTTCTTTCTTTCTCCATTGAGGGACACCGGAATGGAGTAATTCTTGAACATATGGGTTATACTGCCACCTTCAGGAGGTTTGGACACTGATAAAAACTGTTCTGCCAGCCCCCATATAACTTTTCTCTCTGACCATCATGCCTCAGTATTTTTGCTGGTGTCCTAGGAAACTGAACGCTATTATGCTTTTTTTTCATCCAATCAACATTTCTAGGTGCTTTGTGGATATTTTTTTCAAGTTGTTTATTAGACTGCTTGAGGTGGTCCCTATGCGGCAGTCAGTTAGTCACTTGTTGATGGTGCCTTTTACTAAGCCCTGGTTCACACCTGGGCGTTTTACAGCGCTGAGCGGCGCGCTGTAAAAATGCCCAGCAAGTGAAATCCCATTATTTCCTATGGGCATGGTTCCCACCTGGGCGTATTTCAGTGCGTAGGAACGCGCTGAAAAACGCCCTACGCCCAAAGAAGTACAGGAGCTTCTTTGGGGCGTATTTTCCTGTGCGTATCCCTTAGGATACAGCTGGATAGCCCTCGTAAACGCGTGTTTGTCGCGTGTTTCGTTGACCACAAATCACGGTTAAAACGCGCGTCAAACGCGCATATTCCGAACGCCCAAGTGTGAACCCAGCCTTAGGGATTACACTGATAGCCAGTTGGACTCCCTATTTAACTATCTGAAACGGCTCTCCTTCCTCTGCTAGTGGTGACTGTACTTTGTGATACCATGTCTCAATGGTTCACATCTTTTAAAGAGATTCCTATAACTCAAAGCAAGTTACTTGAGTACTTCAGGTATGATAGTCTCTTACAGCCATCTAGGTTGGTGTCTCACATGGCAGTAATGTGTGTTCATATGAGAAAGATGCTATGGCTATGCCTCATTCATTTGCTGTTCGGGGGGGGGGGCTTCTCTTTGGTCATGCACATGCACTTAACAGTGGCATACACAAGCCTCCTGATTCTCACTCTGGGTGTCGCTTCATCGCAGAAGATCTCTTGATGATGCAGTAAAACTCCAGTCTTCAGCTAGTATAGCTGTAACATCTCATATGAGATCTAACTCTCATGTGAAGCGCAGATCTCAAAGCAATAAACCATCTGTTTAAGGCACACCGCCACTTTTACCAGTTGGTTATTGTTTCTCTATTCTGTTGGTCTCCTGGATTTCTCTTCCTCTCAGTTTGAATGCTTAGGGTACATCCTGTAGCTTCTATGTTATACCCTGCAACTAGGTATCTGGCTCTTTTGCCTTTTCTTATTCCTTTTGATTTTCCGAACCTCAGTGTACTTCACTCCTAAATATTGAGGCTCCTCACTTCCTAGGACTTGTGATGTCCCATGGTGCCTGGAACCTACCTTGGGGTATTCTAACGGTTTTCTTACAATAGAGTCTACTGATTTTAGCTTCATTGCACTCCTTGCGGTGCGTATTCCTACCAGCACTTACAAAGTCAATAACCCAGAGATTGTATGACTCTTCTACAACACTGACCATTTCCTCTACCATAGTGCTCCTTCTCTTCTTAGCTTCTCCATTGTGAAATGCCTAAAACCTCCTCACTAAACACTGTCCCTTAGTGGTACTACCTGTCCCCTAGGAAAATCCCTTA